TCGGGGGCGTAAGTGCGGGGCGATAGAGGAAGGGTGAAGGTCCTCGCCTCGAGGGGATAAAGGGGGGGGGGACGTGCGGAAACGTGTTCCCAGCGGACATTTAGCGGGCTGTCCATTACAGCGCGTTAAGCGCGTGCCCCGCCCCGCTACGACCGAGCGCCCTCTGAGCTTCGCTGGTTAGCGTTCTGATGCCAGTGTTTGCCCCCACCCCCACCCCCCAGCGATGCACCTCGTCTCCTATCCTATGGCTGCGGTTCCCACCGCTGCACTCTGTTACCGGCCAGGCAGGCGGCATGGCGTCGTGGAAGTCCACGGTTATTTTCCTCTCCGCCGAACACACTTGCTGCTCGCCGGTGTCGAAAAGGCCCGCCTTTCGTCTTATTTCGAACAGCAAAGGTCGCCCCGCCCTGGCCCCACCACACCTGCCACACCCCGTGCGCGCAACTTGTCTCCGCTTCGGTGGCGCCCCGTTGGCAGTCGTTTGACGCACGTGGACTATCGCCGCGCCCCGAGCCCCGCGCCCCGCCCGCTCCGAGCGAGAGTGGTGGCGGTGGCCAGACAGATGAGACCGGTCATCCACACGCTGGCAGACCCGATAGCTCCTCCCTCTCACCCCCAGCGATCATTGTAATATTTCAGCGCGTAAGGGGACGTCCACATACCACGTCACGCTATTTTTTTACAGTTTTCACCCCCCCCCTCCCCCCACGTCACGCGGCTAACCGAACCTTCCAATGCTTTTGGTAAAGGATCGCCCACGCGACGACGGAGTGGATAAGAAATAATGAAAAGACGCGGAGGGACGGGCCGCCGTTTCATAAGGTGTCGAACACATGCTGGCGCTCGCCTTCTTGCTGACGGGGCGCATGATGACTGGCGGCGTGCAAAGAAACCCATCAGCATCTTTCGCTCGTTCTCTTTTTCACGCCGGCGGCGGCGTGCGCGGCGCGCGTCTATTTTTTTTTTTTGCGCAGGTTGCGGAGCGTTTCGACATGCGTTGTGTGTGTCTCCGCATGACCTGACGACGTGCTTTTGCTTTGCTCGCAGATGGCGGAGCTCATGGAGACGGGGGGCGTCCCCATGGGGGCGGGCCGCCGCCTCAAGACGCAGAAATCGACGGTGTGGACGCGGCGGCAGCAGGCCGTGTGCGTGCGCCGCGCCTACAAGCGCTACGGCTCCAAGAAGAACCCCAACCAGATCCTGGACGGGCTCAACATGACGGTGCCCAAGGGGACCATGTGAGTATACTACTGCGCCCCGACCGCGCCCGTCCGAACTGGCGAAGCCCGTCACACTCACCTGCTTCTCACCCCCTCTCGCCACAGCTACGGCCTGCTGGGCGCGTCCGGGTGCGGCAAGACGACGCTCTTGAGCTGCATCGTGGGGCGGCGTCGGCTCAACTCTGGCGAGATCTGGGTGCTGGGCGGCCACCCTGGCTCCAGGGGCAGCGGCGTGCCCGGCCCGCGCATCGGCTACATGCCACAGGTGAGGAGACTCCTGTCGATTCAATGTGTTTGTTAATGGCTGTCTGTGCGTAGCTAGCGAGACGGCGCGCGGGGCGGGCCCGCCCGCACGGCGCCCGAGCGCGACGGGCCTGCCTACCCGCGGGGCGCTCACGCCCGGGCTGGCCGTCTGCTTGCAGGAGATCGCCCTGTACGGCGAGTTCTCCATCCGCGAGACCATGATCTACTTCGGTTGGGTCGCTGGCATGACGACGAGCGAGGTGGAGGAGCGGCTCGACTTCTTCATCAACTTCCTGCAGCTGCCGCCCGCCACGAGGGCCGTCAAGAACCTGAGGTTCGGCCAGAGACACTTTTGACTAAGCTAGCGCCATGGCGCTCGAGGGGAGTGTGTGCCGTTCGCTCATGTTAACCATTCGTGTTCGACAGTGGTGGACAGCAGAGGCGTGTCTCGCTCGCCGCCGCCCTTCTCAACAACCCAGAGCTCCTCATCCTGGATGAGCCGACGGTGGGTGTCGACCCAGTGCTGCGACAGAGGTGAGTGGAGGACTGAGTACCTAGTACTGTAGATGGCGCGGGCTCACCGACTCAACACGCGTCACACTGTCGTTTCTGTCCAGCATCTGGGATCACCTGGTGGAGATCACGCAGGGGGGGCAGCGGACCGTCATCATCACCACCCACTACATCGACGAGACGAAGCAGGCGGGCATGGTGAGCACACAGCTTTACCGCCTCGGGAGGGCCTTAGAAGGCGAAGGCACTCACGCGAGTGTTTCTGATGCAGATCGCCCTGATGCGTGGAGGCAAGTTCTTGGCCGAGGAGTCCCCGGAGATGCTGATGCAGATGTACCAAAGCGACTCTCTGGAGAATGTCTTCCTCAAGCTGTCACTCGCTCAGATCCAGGGCAAGCGGCGTCGGTCCATCTACCTCAAGGAAGTGGCAGGATCTGAAGACCCGGCGGGGGTACGTACCGTTAGCACATTTACTGGTGAGCTCTAGTACGAATCATATGGAGAAAAAGACATTAATGATATATGACCTTCAGGAAAGTACGGCAGATGCGGCTTCCGAAATAAGTGGTGAGTTTGGAGATAATGTCAGTATTAAAAGTGGGCGGTCGGAGGGACACCATTCTGTGGTAAGTAAATCGTATTTCAAAGTTTTAACTGCAATCATTGGAATATTTTCAACCCAGTAATGTACTTTACTTCATTCCGACAGACCGGCCCTTCAGATCTACCCCCAGAGGAGGAAACTCCATTTTCTTGTAAAGATATGTTCATAATCTTTTCACCTCATCGTATGAAAGCTCTGATATGGAAAAACTTCCTGTGGATGTGGAGGAACTTTGGGTATGATTAGGTTTAATGTTGTCTTGTTTACTCAACAAATGTTAGTCGACAAATTCTAATGCATAACCTTTATTTGTAGTGTTATGGCATTCGTAATTGGCCTCCCAGTGTTACAAATTTGCCTGTTTTGTTTCTCGATTGGTCGTCCACCTTTGGGCTTGCACCTTGCAATTGTGAACAATGAACTGAACAACTGGACTGACCCCTGCCATTTTAACACAAACTGCACTATTGACATGTTGAGTTGCCGCTATTTAGCAGAACTTCAGAAATACAACGTTGTAGAGGTTTGGAGAATTCTTTATAATTCCTCTTGTACAATAATTAAAGGATTGAAAACAATGTTGATAACAAACTGAAACCTTAATACCAGGTTCCCTACCCTAATGAAATGGAAGCAAAGCATGCTGTTAAACTTGGTCATGCTTGGGCTGCTTTATCATTCCCAGGAAACTATTCTAGTAGTCTTTATGAAAGGCTTCAGCAAGGAAAAGATGCTGAAGATTCAGTTTTAGATTTCAGTAACATTGAAATTTGGATGGATGCATCAGGTACAAACACTGCATACTTGAACTGTGAAAATATCATTTAACTAGCAGATCTACTGATAATTCAAATTGGTGAACTATTTTCTTCCAGACCAACAAATCAATCAACTCCTGACCAGAAACATTCTATTATCCTTTGAGGATTTTGTAATGGATGTCTCAAGATCATGTGACTACCCAGAGAAAGTGGCTAAACTTCCTGTTAATGTGAGTTGAAGAAGGAAGGTTGCAATAACTTAATTCAAGTTCAATTGAAATCTAAATTTATTTTTCAGTTTGAAACTCCTATTTATGGAAGCAAAAATCCAAACTTCACCAATTTTGCTGCCCCAGGAGTTATCCTAACGTAAGTAATCAAAACCAGGGCAAAATAGAATCTGCTCATATTGCAGATTACTGATTTTTTTTTACATAACATGTTTTATTTTTTAAATTTCAGCATTATTTTCTTCTTATCGGTAGCCTTGACCTCCGGAGCTATGCTTATAGAGAGAAATGAGGGAATTCTTGAAAGAAGTTTGGTATCAGGTACCTATTTACATTTTGTGAATGCATTACTGCCTACATAGTCTCATATCATTTGTTTTATCCCACAATTTTACAGGAATTACTGGAACAGAGATTCTTTTCTCACATGTTGTAACTCAGTTTTCTGTTATGTGTGGCCAAACAATTATGGTACTTGCCTTTGCCTTCCTCACAGTGGTTGAAGTAAATGGGGATGTTGGATGGGTTGCTTTACTCACTGTGCTGACTGGTTTATGTGGAATGTGCTTTGGTAAGTCTAAAATAAAATTACCACTTGACAAGTTACTGTAAAAAGCCATACCTAATTTTTAAGAATGAAATCTATTGAAATTGGGTTATATTCTACGTTTTGATAAGAACAAATTTCGTCCATAGTAATGATTGAATTCAAAATAAATTAATTTTTCAGGTTTTGTTGTGTCATGTGCTGTGGACAATGAGCGAAATGCTACTTACATGGCCCTTGGAAGTTTTCTGCCAATTGTTATGCTGTGTGGTAAGTGTGCCTAAGATTTCTATAAGGCATTTCATTCCAACATATGGTAACACTTTTTCTATGGTTTCCCCAGGAATCATCTGGCCAGTAGAGGGCATGCATTACATCCTGAAATTCATAAGCTTCTTCTTGCCTCTCACCAAGTCAACCGAATCCATGCGAGCGATCTTAGCAAGAGGATGGACCATCACAAATCCAACTGTATACTATGGTTTTGTGTCAACCTTGCTATGGATAGCCATTTTCCTTACCCTCAGTATTTTGCTGATTAAGTTCAAGAAGGGCTAAGCTTAAAAGTTGTTCTTCAACCCTTTCTGTGATCATTTGTGCTCAAATTAACAATGAGCAGTCTGCCCTGTTTTCAAAAATGCTTCAAATTTCTTTTCAAATTAATAGGTTTTAAGAAGAATTTTACACTTTTGAGTCATTATTTTATCTGTAGGTAGTTAAGAATAATCATAATTGTGGTAAATGGACAAGGTAAAATCTTTAGAAATGATTTTAAGTTTTGTCACAAAAATCAGGTTATTTCCAGCCTGAAATACAGTACCATACCAATAACCATTTAAAAAATTGTGACCATTATTCAAATTTTGTCACAATGTTTGTACACTCTTGATCATTTGAATTTGAAGTGATTATACTGTATTAATAAATTTTATTGTGGTGTTACAAAGGCAACTTTAACCTTAGTGAAACAAATCTTTGCATTTTTATGCGATGGTATCCCCTTTAAAAAATGTATCACAATGTGTTAAAAATAACTTCTTTGAGATTGAAAACAGAATGTGGAACATCTCTTATTTATATCCATAATAAGTTTTAGTTTTCAAAGCAACCATTTCATAGTGCACTTTCGTGTTTTGCAGTTAGTCTACTGTGATTTCAGTGTACATGATGAACTGTACATAGGTCCATAGCTTGGGTGATAGACCCAAAATATTTTATGGCATGTAGATAGACAAGTATTAGCATAAGAATAAATTTTAATGTTGCAATTGTTAATCACCTGAAAAACAGCTCAACTAATTTGATTGTACCCACAATTCGATGGGAAAAATCTTATCGCTCTCTAGTTCCTTCTGTAAATAATATTGCATTTAGTCTAATGTAGACACGAATGCCTTGAACATGTATGATGTGATTCACACTACAAGCAATGTAACTTTGTAAGAAACTGTGTTGGCTTTAACAGCCTAAAAGGGGAAGATGTTGTGAATAGAGCTTAAAGTAGGTTAAGCTAAAGTTTGTTTCCTCTTGATATGAACTCTGTTTAAGAGCAATAAATGTTTTATGAACTTATTAATCTTCAAACTCCCCTAAAATCTCCAATGGAAAAATTAATTTCAATAGGAAAACATTTGACTTTTCTTTATTTTGTTAATAATTACATATCAAATTTTTTATAAACTTTCGCATTAAAATTACTGATTTAAAAATTAGTTATTTCATCATAAGGCTAATACACACTCAGTTAAATACCAGACATGATTAAATGCGGTATACTTGAAGCGAGGCTTCAAAACAAAGATGCATGTAACTGTTCGTAAGTCAATATCAATATGTACAATCTATGAACGGTAGTGAATATAAAACCTGATATGAAAACTGTCCAAAATATTGCCTTACAATCAGCAACCCTAGGGCTAGGTACCCAAGCAAACTAATGATGATAGATACAAAACTTTCTTCCTCATACCGGGGTACACTGCAGCCAACAGACATTCCATAGCTAAATATGGCAACATTCAGACGCACCAACTCCAATCCTTATCGGACTTAACAAGAGCCCACAAACATCCTTTGCTAGTAATGGAAAAATAGCCAATCCCTGCATTCCAAAACTTATTTGTTAATACTACCATATCTGTTAAATAATTACTAAAATGAAATACAATAAATTCGCCATATGGCTCCTCACGCGAATTGGCATGAAATACAGACCAATATCCTGGGCACAGCGAGATAGTCGAGTTAAAGCATAGGCAAACCAAACCATCAGTCAACAATCTCGCTGGCCAGCCAAAAAGTCTTTAACAGAATACACTAAAATGGCAGAAAAGGAAGCTTCTCAAATCACAAAATAAAATGAAATGCTGTCTATTCCTCCACAAAGGATACAGATTTACTTTTTTCTTTTTTTAGCGGAAAAACCCTTATTTATAAAATAAATAACCTTCTGTTTGAAGAATTCTTATTCACAGTCATATATTGAAAGGAACCTTGACTTCCATGAAATGGGTACCATTCCAGTCAGTCAAGCTGTCACATCTGTGTTTGTGCTCAACTTTTCCTTAATGAATGCAAGAAATGACGGAATTGAGAATGAGAGAAGGGAACTAGAGATCTGACTTTTGATGCAAAATGTATCTTTTTCTTTAATAATTTGATATCTAATTCAACTCCAATTAATTGTCATCCTCAAAAAATATTCACATGTATTTAGAAATTTGTAAAGAAATAAAATTGATTAATGAAAATCCATCCCTCCTTTCATTCCCTTAATAAATGCCAAATTGCTGCCGGGCGCACAAGCGCTTCAGTTTCAAGAACCACTCTGAGTCCTTTAACATTTGGAGATTTTGTACTCTCCAATGCCCACAAAACTTTTCCTGTGAGTTAAATTTATTTGATTGTTCCAAAATATGACATCTACTAATAATAAAATACAAAATTATTTTGATGCATGGGGGGAAAAGGGGATTAGGGGATGGATGACAAAATAGGCATTTACCTTAAGTGAGCGTGGACAATTGGCACAACTGCCAAGAGAAACCAGCCTACAATAAGACGCACCTTCTCCTCCTCACAGGTTCTGGTGGTTCGAGGGCAGCAAGGATTGCTTCATCAAAGACATTCTTCAACCCTTTCTGAAATTGGATAAATTTTCATATGAACATCCAAGAAGGATAAATATAGTGCAAAATGCAAATAGAGCACAATACAATTTAATATATATAAGGAAAAATTTATCTCACCTGAGTGAGTGCTGAACACTCAACATATTTTACTGCCTTTAACTCTTTTGCAAGTTTTTCACCTTGCTCAAATGAAATTGGCTTTTGTTTGTTTTTGGCCAGCTTTTCTGTTGTTGCAACATCATCTCTCAAATCTATTTGAGTACCAACTAGCAAAAACGGTGTTTTCTGACAGTGATGAGTTATTTCAGGAACCCACTGAGGAGAAATAAGGGAGAATTAGACAAGATCAGATTACAATAAACAGATACTTTGCACATCATAAACATGTCTATACCTTTTCTTTGACATTTTCAAAAGATGAAGGTGAAACTACAGAAAAACAAACAAGGAAGACATCTGTTTGAGGATAACTGAGCGGTCTCAGTCTATCATAATCTTCTTGACCTAAAAACAAAAATATTTTCGTTATAAAATGAAAATTAAAAAATAGTTATTTTGTTTTACTTTCAAGGAATACTAACCTGCAGTATCAAAAAGACCCAGGGTGTAAGGTTCTCCACCAATCATAACTGTCACAGCATAGTTATCAAAAACCTAAAATGGCAAAAAACAACAGGTATGTGAAAGAAGAAACATCGGTTCAATGTCAGTGTTTTGGCTAAGGATGCTATGAATTTCTGGCACAATTACAGGGGAGTTTAATGTACATGTTTTTTATTAACACAAATACTCACTGTGGGGACATACTCTGAAGGAAATTTATTTGTAGTATAGGAAATCAGTAGGCATGTTTTACCAACGGCTCCATCCCCAACAACCACACACTTGATGGTCTGCATGTTGCCAGATGCAATGCACACACCTGTAAGCAAAATATGTGAAATGAATAAATAGAAAAAAAAATTATTGTTGTTTTTGTTTACATATTGGATTCAAGTTTCAAAAATATTGAAATTTGAAGGGGGATTTCGCAACAATATTTGAGACACTTCTTGATTAAAATAATTGTCACAGTAAATAAGTTGAATTATAACATAACCAAGATCATGTGAGAGTTAGTCACCTTGTGATCCAACATTGGGAAAGGGGAGGGGAAAGGGAGGGTGAAGTGAATTTAATAACTGTCAAGAGGAGATACACAACTCAAACGGGAAGGACTACTGTCAATGAGTAAAGCGCACTTTTTCAAACGTTGAGATCAACCTCATGTAGTTCATAAAACCCACACGTCCACATATGACGGCTTGCCGGATGACACTTGGCCAGGCCCATCAAGCTCTCTAGAGTGGTAGGTAGTGGAATGGCAATTAAAGAACATGAAAGAGTGCTAAGCACCCAGCGCTTTATCAGCATGACAGATTAGGGAGAATAAAAACGAGTTTCTCGATGACGTACAAAGGTTTGAATCATTCCTTAGTACTCATGACGTAGACTTGTGTACAACCAAACACCGTGGTATCATAACCTACATCAATAATACGTATCCAAGAGGAATGACAAGGGGATTACTGATACACAAGCCGTGTATTTCTTTCACAATTATGGAGTTGTCATTATCGTAAAGCAAGTGCTTTTTTTGAAGCAGAGTGTAATAAAACAACGGTAATTTATATTGGTTAAGGAAGCCATCTTGATTACACCTGCGTAGGCCTAAAAGCGGCCCACCTCTTACCCGATGTTACACAAGTCTTAGGAATCTTTGCAGACGAACAAACAAGTGGAGCAGAAAAAATAAATCCACCAAAACATTTGCCGGACAAATGTTGATGCAACGGGACGCGAATATCACGAAAAAGAGACACTAAAATTCACTTACAAGTGTGAGTGTGTAAATGGGCGTCGACAAGCTTTTCTCGCAGTACAACAAACTCAGCAGCACTGAAAGAAAAACAATTTATGAAGGTGAATATGAGACCCATTGAATCCACAAGTCTCTAAAATAAATCCAAAGGAGACTGATAAAATTATCAAAATGTACAAGTTTAACCTTAAAAAATGAAGACTGTTTAGAAAATTTTAGTCGATTGGCACAGTACTCCCTTAACAAGACAATCAAAAGACACAAGGGAGATACTAATCGAACCAAAACGATGCCAGAAAAATTAACTTTCCGCCAAAGTAGCTGATAGACTACACCTAAGTGTAAAAGTGAAATCCCTCGCTCTAACGCATTGTCGTAAAATCCTTGATCTCACTTCGTAATCCAAATTCAAAGTATAAAAGAATGAGGAAAGCCGATATTGTGTAAATCATACATAATATCTGCCGAATGTCCGACGGTGAAATAACAGATGAGAAACGCCACCAATGATGAGAAATTTAACAGCTCAGCTTTTAGCCGCCACTCTCCGCATTTGTTTAAAAACAGGTTGTGTCGTGACCCTGTCAGCCAAACGACCCAACTTTCAAACTAGAGCTGAGCAATTCTAGTCCTAGAGCAGGACTATGGCTCGATAGTTATCTGGAATTCTGTGTCTTTGCACTACTATCTTACACGACCTTCAGTTCAGAAATAGCAGTGCTGGACAGCAAACTGCAATTTTGGGTAGGAAATGATGACTTCAGAGGAGAAATTGAAGTGGTGGAATATTTTTCTGGTGTCACATCCACATGACTGATATGAGATGAGAGGATCGTTTTTCATGGTAAAGAATTAGCAGTGACATCAAGCCGTCAAACATGTATAATTTCAAGTTCAACCAATTAAATTTTCACAAAAGTCATTTTGGTACAAATGCAAGCAAAGCTAACAAGTAAAGAAAGCAGCCCATAAAAACCCTAATTAAAACCCATCAAACATTTAAAGAAAAAAATTGAAACAGCTTTATTTAAAATTACTTATTGAGTTGAATCAAGAGCTCTCGTTCAGAATGTTAAAGGATCTATGAGCAGCGCTGTCTTTTTGCCAAAGGCTTATTTCCACTTCGATCAACAATGATGTCTTTTTTAATTTTAAGCAATTCTTCTGAGTCCACTGTAAGCAAATTCAATTTCCTTTCAACTCAAAGAGATGTCTTCTCAACCAACATTTTATTCTCAGTCTAACTTACGTAATGTAGAGGCGATAATGAAGTGATCACATTTGCTCTCGCACTTGCTCTGCAAACCCTCATAAATTCTGTTATTTATCTTCTGAAGTGTACAATATACTTGCTTGATTTGATCCTTTGACAATTTTCCTAAGAGATTATGCTGTTTGTCCCAATAAAATGGAATCTTGCCTTTTCCGTACCATTCAGTTAAAACAGTTAACATCTAAAAATTAGACAAGCAGCATAATATTAAGACAACAAGACAAGATCTTTAAATTGGGTTCCTCCTTTGAAGTGAAACATGTGCAGACTTACATGGAGGAATGTTGAGCTGAGCGGCCGACGCCAGAAATCATTATTTTGTCTTTCCTTTTCTAACATAAATACTGTCTTCAGTGCATACGAACTCATTTTGTACTGGTCAAATTTTACATCACGTAATTTCTGTAAGTTTTGAAGTTAACAAAGTTTGATCATTAGTCTGATTTTTTAATTCTTCAATGATTCACATCTAATTTACCTTGAGTAATTTTAGAACAGCCTTGAAATGATTTAAATTATGAATGATATACGATTCTTGATTGTGAAAGGAAAGTCTCCACTGCAGGCGAGCAGGAATATTGCCATCAGCAGTATTTTCTTCAGGCTTTAACGGTTTGGGAACCAAGTTCCAAGTCTTATCCTGTAATGTGAAACATGCTAAGTTTAATTCCTCTCTCAATGTAGAAAAGAAATCAGTATTTTTTTAACACACCTGTGTATCTGCAGGACATTGCCGGATGTGATGAGGCCAATCTTTTGTTTGGAATTCAAAGGCTGGCACTAAATCTATGCAGAATTGAGTGATTCCCAAATAAGTGGATCCACTAGAATCAATATTAACTTCAACTGTCACAGCAGGACCAGATTTTCTAGTCCCTATCTGTAAAAAAAAAAAAAAAGAAAAGAAAATACTCTGCATAAGTCACATCACTGATGTGTTCAATGAATTTAGATTATGGTAACCTCGATAGTATAGCATATTTTTACCTCGTAACAAGTACCCTCAATTTCCAGTTGATATTTTTTGTTAGGTAATGGAGGCAACGTGGCTAAAGCTTTATTAACCACACTTTCCATCCAAAATCGTAATTTATCTGATAGTATGTTACCATTATCATCAAACCAGTCAGGTCTGTAGAAATATAGAAATTCCTTAAGTATTCCCCTGAAATCTTATTAAATCACAATGTATTCGACATCAAACTTTACCTATATGTTCTACATTTTGAGCTCTTCACAATCTTGAGACCATTTTGAACATTTACAGTTACATACGAAGGGGAGGCAGGTGTAAACTTTTACAGAAGAATGCAATGAATTAAATCATACTAAAACAAAGAACTATTTTGTGTACAAAATTTTAAAAATCAATTACCTTTATGTTTTTGTAAAGTGCAGGCGGCAGGGTTAAAACAAAATTTTTGTCAAATTCAATAGGATGTCCTATTTTTAATTTGTCCCAAAAACTTCCAGCGACTCTTTCTTTTTGGAATATCAAATTGAACAGATTATCTTCCTTCCTCATCATTTGAATCAGTACTTTTGTCTAAACCAGAGAGCAATTTGGAGTTACTCAACACTGACAAATTCTTTCAAACTATGAAATAAAGCGTAAACCGTACTCATGCTGTAGACCACATGTTTGTAAAGCCCTGATAATTTTAATCAACATATTACAGTTACAGCCGCAAACAATTGCTTACCACATTTTCTAAATGACGCTTAAAAAATTTGACATCAGGAGGCTTTAAGGAAACAAAATTCGAGCTAATGTATTGCAGAATGGCATCCTGCACAGCATAATCTTCCTGGGTTAAGTCCAGGGAACGAGATAGACTCATGATTGCGCCGCAAACTGTAAATTGAACTGACAAATTATCTAGCCAGGCTAAAACCTAACCTAACCTTCATCAAAAATACCCCGACGATGGATTATGATCGAACCGAGTTTTAAAAAATACACATCATGTAAGTTAGCACACGTTTTACGTACCTTCCTTGTCCAACTCTAAAGCTCTTAGGCAATAGTGACAGCCGGTTGTAAAACGGAATCGTCGAGTTAGCAGCCAAGCCGCCAAGCCGCAGCGAGGGAGCGAGGGGAATCACCGAATCACCTAGGTCGTGACTGAAGAAGCAGCACAGGCGGTATAGGAGTTTGCGGGCGAGCAGCGGGGGTGAGGAAAATCGTGACCTTCGGCGGGCTTGCCTACCTACCAGGCGATCTCAGCCATTTGCAAAGTTGGTGGTAAATTTTACTTACAGTAATTTTGTAAATGTCCGATACCCCAGTCTAGCTTCTTTGGCTGATTCCAAGTCGGAAAGAAGAGCTTTTGCCTTCCAACAGAGATTCGTCACAAAACGTCAGATTGACGGAATGATGTGAAAATGAAGTTTTTTCGTCTAAACATACGTTATAGTGATGCGAATTTTCATCATTTTGACGGTTTGTGACCAATCTCTGCGATCTCTGTTAGTAGGCTGGAGGAACAGTCACAAATTTTAAATTTACGACACATCATGGAAAATTTTCCGAACCGTAAACATACTATTTTCACTGTGTTTAGTAGTACCGGGGGACCAGGCTATGACATGCCAGTACGTGGGGTTGCCTATGCACCAGGGGCTGCAGGCGCGGGGGAGTGGTGGGGGAGCTGCCACTTCCCCGCTTACATACTCGCCGTACGCCCCCCACCTTGTTTGTAATTTGTGGGTACCCTTGGGACGAGTTGTGGCTGAGGGCGCCTGGAGGGTAGGCGGGCCCGCAATACATACTCGTCGTGCGCCCGCGGCCGTACCCAGTGAGTGGGTGACCCTGGGATGAGTTGTGGCTGAGGGCTCAGTTGTGGCTGAGAGCGCCTGGAGGGTAGGCAATCCATTCAAAAGCTGCTCTTCGTGTTTGGGGCCCCCTGGGCCCCATTGCTTTGGTTTTTACGCATCCGGGGCCTTTCGGCTCGTCACGGACTATGTGCAGAGCATGTCCTTACCTTCTGGTTACTTCCTGAAGGCTTTGGATTTCATATTACCCGAATATTGGTGTTCTATAGTCGGGTCGGATTAAGCTGACTCTGGCCGCCGGGTTTGTGGCCACAATTTTGTGGCCACA